TACTATTATAGTGTAGTTTATGTTCCGCTTTCTAGCCCATGTTCCCGATCTGGTTTGGCGCGGTTGAAGCATGCCTCGAGGCGGACAAGTATGAACTAGCCAGGGCAACTGCGACTGAAAACAAAACATCATACTTCACAGTATGGAAAAAGATTTTGCACTCTTGATTGTTGGCCGTTGCCCGCAACATCGGGGTATTTCGTAACCTTGCACACTTTCATCGGCGCAAAATAAGACCCTTTGCGGCACGCCAAGCTGTTCGCTGTGTTCGGTTCATGTTTCGTGGTGTTGGCCCGGTTCAATTGAGACAAGACGATGCAGCCTTTGTCGAGCAACTACCGAAGGGACAAGCGTGTGCGTTTGCCGTAACCGACTTGTGTTGTGCCACACCAAAAATCGGCAAAATATGTCAAGGAACGAACGGATTGCTCTTGACCCTGTTTTCCAGGACGTTTATTTCGTCAAGGGTTGTGCGGTGGCGCGGGTTTGCTGTTGTTGCCGCGTTGATCCAAGGGAAGTGATAAAAGGCACGATTGGAAGATAGGGCACGCGAGCGTTTAGACCAACACTTGAGGTCTCAAGATCGTGCGTCCTTTTCACATGCGCAAGGCAAAACGCGTATCTAGGCACAACGACACTTTCGTTGCCCTCCTCGACACAACTAAACCGTCGGCCCGTTCGTAGCTCAACAACACGGGTACTCGTCAAGCGGTTCACGCACACGGTTAGGAGGTGGCTGTTGTGGCTGGTGTCCCTAACGCCTGCTCCGTGTCGAACAAGCAACTTCTTTACGTTGACGTGGCCACCGAAGGCCGCGAAATCGAGGGCGGAACAATCGCCGCTCAAACCTTCGTAGTCGACGGCGTAGTAATTGTTTTCCACACGAAGGCTCACATCGGCGCCTGCAGCAACCAGAGCTTCGACCTCGTGTAGATCACCTTCGCTGGCTGCTAGGTGAAGAGGCGCTCTTCCGACGTCATCTTTGCAGTTGATGTCAACGCCGGTCGCCTTCGCTAGGATTAGAGTCGCCCCTGCTTGACCTCGTTCCGCGGCCGTGTGTAGAGCCGTCATACCACGTTCGCCACGAGCGTTGACGTCCGCTCCCTTCCGGAGCAATGCTGTCAAGGCCTCAACCTTGCCGTTGTACGCGGCCATGTCGAGCGGGGAGAAATTCGTCGAGCTGTGGCGGTCGTTCACGTCTGACCCAGCTGTGAGAAGTGCCTGCAACCCAACAACATCACCATTGATGCTAGAAAGGTGAAGGGGCGTGCGTCCAAACCCATCAACTGCATCCATATCCGCCCCCTCGATCAGGAGTGTGCGCACAATAAACCCGTGGCCCAACATAGCGGCCAAGTGTAGGGGTGTATCTCCATCTTCGTTCTTGTCCGTGTGGGATGCGCCTCTTTCGAGCAAGTCTCGGACGAGATGGCGGTGGCCGCCTGTCACAGCCGAGCCTAGCGCGTTTCCACTTGCGCCAGCTTCCATCAGCGCTTTTGTAAGCGGAATATCCCCAGCAGAAGCTGCGCGCTCGAACGGAACTTTGAGCCACTCCGCCAAAACGTCATCGGGCGCATCGTACATGTAGTGCAGGAGGACCCGGCCCACGCCTTTCAGAGCACGGTGAACCCTCTCGAAAGCATCTTCCCTCATTGCTTTCTTCTCACGCCCGCTCGCCCCCTGTCCACTTGTCCGCCTGTCTCGTCTGCTGTGGACCTTCCGTTGCAGCTGGAAATGAGGGTGGGCAGGACGCGAGCAGTGGTGCATACTGTCAACGTTCAATGAAAAATTCTTTGCGAGTGGGCTTGTTGAAATAATGTCTCACTGCCTGTGGAATCCATTCCGTTGCCCTGGGAAAGGTCCGAATGCCGTGAGTTGATACGTAGATCCCTAGGGGGTCAATGGTGGCACCAGTGACTCCAGGGTACCAAACTGAGGAATATCGATGTGGTCTTGTTTGCTGACAACGATGCATAGTACGAGTATCGCGAAGCGGGCAGGTAAGTCAACACGTCGACGGGGAATACCCACCAAATGTGTCTCCGGCAATTAAACCTACACTAAAAAAAAAATACAGCGAACAGAGGCCTTAATTATTATGAAAAATGCGTGTCAACTCGTCAAAATCCGTTTGGATATAGGTTTCAGACAGAGAAGATGCCTCCGTGGCAACATCTGAAAGATAGCAATTACCTGAAAATTGTCATTTAGATGTAGTTCGCGTCGGATACCGGTTGCTTGTGAAACTTATGTGGCTCTCAGGAAACGTTGAGATGGAGCTCCTGTGCGACCAGGCAGGGGAGCTGTACCCACCCTAGACACGCGCTTGCCAATCGATCAAACGACCCTACGATGCGCACATTTCACCAACTCCAAGCGTAGAGCTACAAATCGAGCTGTTCGGGCTGGCGCGCTCACTACAGATGTAGTCTATACAGGAAGATGCTACAGATTGGAATGCCGATTGGACCTGTAAGCCCAACAGGAGGGTCGTCAGCAGAGGCCAGTGGCATCAGCTACTGCTGTAAACCGGCAGTTCAGGAGATTGGGGTCAGTGGTGGCGAGCACAAGCAGTAGAAGACACTGCGTGTCGGTCTAATTTGCCGAGATTTTCCGAGATTGTAGGCCGCTACAACGACCTCGATATCATCACCACCACAGAAGAAGCAGATTTGAGCGTGCCCAACCCCCCCCCCGCTTCTTCTGTAGAATGTCCTCTAGTGGATGTTCTCTAGTGATATAAGTACTATGCACGAGGTTCCTGGCAACACAGAGCTTATTTATGGATATTTTGACTTGAATTTAGAATAGTGTCAATTTATCTTGATTTAATCGAGGCGTGTGGAGGTAGACGCGTGAAACGTATGTTTTGAGAAAAGTCTCTGCTGCCGCCCTGTGCGAGAATCAGCGATTACGATTTCTATTTTCGCGATGCCTTCCGACCGGTCTTGTGTCTCTCGTGTGCCATTTCTGGTGCTCTTGGGTTTGTTTTCAAAATTTGTCAACATCAAAGTTCGTGTTCTGCCATGACAAGTCAAACCCCAGTTCGAATCTGCGCCATGAACAACATAAGATCTTGGCTGCACTCCGCGACATGAACAGGGTTCGTTGTACTACGAAGGTGCACTTCAGCACGACTTTTCCCCCTTGTTCGAGCCCTCCCTGGCGATTTCCACATCAAGCCGCTTGCTACAGAAACAGCTCGAGCGTGAACGGGCGAACTGGCTGACGCTCACGCTTGCCCAGGTAGAACCTCGGTGTTCTTGGGCTGCCAGAAGCCGGCGAAGAGACAACAGTAATCTGGTACCTGCGGGGCATTCGCTACAGGCTGCCGGTCCTGTCTATAGGGCAGACAATTGTCACCTTCCCTGCGGTCGACAGCAGCAAGCTGCAATTGCCAAGTAATACGGTTTCACGTTGAGGGGGGGCTACAAGTGTCACTTGAGCAGAAGGTGCTTACGTGCTTACGCGGAGGTCTTGGTGTCTCGTGTCGAACAGACCCGAGGAGTGCGCCGTTGGTTTGAAAGTTTGAAAAATATTGGTCAGTCGCTTGCTCAGTGAAAATACCAAGGCTAGCGGAACGTGCGACTAGCATGCACAGTCACCTTTGATAGAGAGTAGAGCAAGATGCATGTGAGCCGCGTGGAGTGGTGAGGCAGTCTCCGCTGGGCAACCAGCAACGTGAGGCCGCAACGTGATGCACCGGCCCCGCCGCCCGTGGGGGTTCCGCGGACTATAGAACAAACGGTGCAAGGGGGGGGGGGGTTATACACGATGTCCAAGGATACATTGGCATACCACATCTCAAGCTCTCTGCAGCTGCGCAGCAGTACCAGTTGGTCAGGCGCTCTCTTGACGACACGGCCGCTTCTTGGTGAGTAGCTACGTCACCGCTGTAATTATGTAGAGATCCACAATAGAAGAAGTGATCAGCAGAACCGAGCACCCCAGTTCGAATTGCGCCGCGTTTGTTCCGCACGCTGCGTAGTAGACAGTAGACATGCTGTTACAATATCGGCACCTCGGGCGCAACTATGGCCAGCACTCCTTGCGCACTATCGGTAACTGCTGTTTGAACGTTTCTATTTTTCGAAAATTCCTCCCCGCTTTCTCTTTCGGCATGTGTATGACCCCTCTCGTGGTTTGCAGCATCCCTTTGTATCAGCTGCTTTGTATCCGCTGCTCGAGTGTTGCGGCGCAAGTTGAACTTGGGTTGCCGCCTTCCTGGTCCTTCCGGGTTGTTGGGATAGAGGTGATACGTAACAACTTGATGTAAGTCTAATTCGAGGTAACCTTGGAATAGCACAGAAACAATGCTTCGATTAATCCGTACTACAAGCCTTGTGGCAGAATTGGTACATTCACAGGAAACAAATCTCCGGAGATGACGAGGAAATGACGAAATGACCGTGTACCTGGTGTACAGCAGTCGTTTGATGCCATACGATGTGCATGTTTGCTGAGAAACGCTACAGGTTTTTATCATCCATGGCCCTGTGCAAACGATTGGTATTGTTTCATATTTCCCGAAGTGTTTGATTTGCCGCTGCCCCTGGAGTGCCTCTCGTGCTCCGTTGTTCACTTGTACTCGGACTTGGGTTTCCTCATTCGATCAGGCATGAGACGCAGCCACGTGTATTAGGAAACATATATAGAAACACAGGGCAGGAAAGCCACGTGTATGTACGGCTCTTGGGCCAGTAGCCCCACACACCAAAATCCGTCTTTTTGCTGTGGACACGTGCAGCCTTGAAATATATCTCAGTCACTCGTGGACAAGATGTGTCTGCTCTCGGTGTTCATGGTGGTACGTGGCACCCAACCTACATGTAGCGCTCGTCGATTCGTCGGAGATACCCCAAGTGCTTTCTTTGGCCAATTTTTTATAATACGTTCTTTGCTGCTCCCGCCTCGCTGACACAACCCAGCGTTAAACAGCGTGATTTTACGTTGTGTTGCTGCACACCAAACAGGCGTTCTCGAGACGACACGCGAACGTCCTCAATAACGCACACACAACGTGGAGGGAAAGATTCGCCCCGCCCCCCCCCACGGGAATGCGGCCTACCCTTGCTTTATTGTCAGCGTTGCTGGCGAGTCTTGTTCACTTCCCGCGAGCTGAACGCGTGCTTCTGTTTCGAGGGGGAGGCCCGTCAGGATCACCGCCATCGAAAACGCGTGCTACTGGTAGCCGCGGCTTAAGCGACGATGATGACCCCCCGCCGATTAGAGAAGTTGTCGGGGCAGGCGCCGTGGGGGTGTTGGCAGGTACGACCTCAGTGAATCTCGCATGTTCAAGCTGCCGTGGTGGCCGTGTCTAGGAGTGACTAACTAGATAGACACGGGATAACGCCGGAACCCATCAGATTAAAAAACTCAAGTTGCAAATGCCCTTAGTGTTGTCGACCGGTGATCTCCTTGTGCGCACGTAGTTGCTACACGAAACACCTCCGAGTGCGGGAGTTGTGATCACTGTGCCACGGGAACGGTTTTTCGACGCCGATAGTCGAAAGATGCAATTAGTGCCACGAGCATTGGTGGTACGCAGATAGACTGCCCACTCCCCCCGACACAAAAGAAAAATTGTACGCGTCGATATCTGTTGTGCCGAAAAGCGGTTCTGGCTCCAAATGTCCAACCTTTTGACTACACGCGTCCGTCCTGTTGCGCTCCTTGGAATGTGGGCAGGCCAACTCGTTTTCCAGTCCCTGTTGATCTCGGCGGGCCTCGGTGTGACAGCGATGACCATCGCGGCTAGCTCGGCCGATGGGGTAAGAGCGCCCCCGCCAATGCGTTTTGAACCGGCTGTATTTCCTGCCGCATTCAAGCCTCTCTTAGTGTGTTGGGAATGAACTCGTGGTGGCAGTTAGAAATAGCGACACGCACTTGCCAGGTGCACTCGAGCTGCCGCGAATTGGGTCGCTGAGGTCCCGAGTAATGGTTGAAATATTCGTTGGCGTATGAAATTGCTGTTGGGACCTTGGAAAAGAGCGTTGGGGGGCTAGGTGAGGTGCAAGAAGCTGGCGCAAGCCCGTAGGAAGTGGGTTTCACTTCATCGGTAACCGTTTGCAAGTGTTCCGAAAGAATTCACGTCGTGCGCTGCCAACTTGCTCGAGTCGAGTGTTTGCTGATTTAGTCAACGGTCTTGTACCGAACAAAGGACACAACGAAATGCGTCGGTCTGAAAGCAGCGTTGCCTGTGTGCGCTTGACTCGATCGACTCGACTGGAATCAGGCGGGGGACATCGCAAGGTCGTCGGGGAGGATGGCGGTCGCGGCCTTCGACAGGGGCGCAGACTTGAACGAGCGTTACCATTTCACTGAGAGGGTAAGCACGTCATGATGTTCTTGATTGTACTGGCTGGGTTCGGTGCTTTTCAGGTGTACGTCCGACTAAGTTGCCAAAATAGCGCAGACTATGCGGTTTGAACGGAAGTGGATTTTTCGGGGGGGGGGAAGGATGGCCGTGGCGTTTCAAGATTGGTTGATGTCCACTGATGCGAACAAGCTCGAGCACAGAATTGCGACTTTGGCGCATGGCGCTGGTACCAACAAGGCTTGGACGGTTCGCCCTAAGGCTATACTCTGCTTACTTTCCCGCGAAGTTCTTTACGGTGAAGCATATACTCGTTGGATCGGGCCGCGGTGTATGAAGTTGCACGGAATTTTCCCTCTGAGTTTAGCAATCCGTGGCTCACTTCCGATACCTCACACCTACAAGACGATAATCTCGTTGACCTTGCAACAAACGTAGCTGAAGTCGGTGTTCGAATGCCTCTTGTTGTGGTACGCCGCAATCATCGCAGTTGGTAAACGGTGCGAAAATTACTGGGTGGAGGCTCAAGCAGTTCGACCAAGAACACGCGGTCGTGCACCGGGCGACGGACGGCGCGAAAAAGGCTTGGCGCGACTTCAAGCAGGTGACGGTCTCATGCTGTACCACATTGTGTATCTTCCACATCAACACATGTTCCATTTCGTGTCCATCTACCTCTTCTACTCTCTTGACCCGTTTGCACGATTGTTGGTAAATGATTGATGCTGAGCATGGACCACAACCAGCATGACGGTGCATGTGGCCGTAGGCTCCCAGTGTACGACGATGTCGCTACTGGTGAGATGAGGCACAAGCAGATTGTTGGAAGCAGGGCCCGACACGCTTCCACCCCCGATTTGTTGTTTATAGTTGTCCGTGGAAACAGACGATGGACCTGTTGCCTGCACATGCCGTCGTTTCTGCTGCGACATGCGCCGGCGTTCATACTCCGGAAGCCATCTCAGCCTTGACGTTTATTTTTTTCTGACATGCAGTTGGTAATTTCGCACACCTTATACATCCGAAGATTCGCTCGCTGGCTTCTGGTTCCCTTGTTTTTCACCCTCCGCCACAACACCAAAGTACGACGAGGCGCACGGACTGACGTCGAGGGCGGGAGAGGCAATGACTTCAGGTCTCGACAAGCTCGCGGAAGCGTTAACCCCACCGCCCTCCAGTAAACCAGGAGGCAGACGCAACAGCAGCAGCACCAGCAGAAGCAGAAGCCAGAACAACAGCATCGGAAACAACGCTAATGACGCGGCACGAACTGACCGGGGGAAAAGTGGCTATGGAACCGGGAAGACGGGAACGGGGCGCGACAAGTTGGGTCGAGGCTTTTGGAAGGAGGCGTTCGAGAAGGGTGAGGGTTGGAGAAGCGGGCTATGGGGGGCGGAGGATGACGGTGGGCGGTGGCGCACGAAGAAAAGAGATGGAGGAGGTGGTGGGAGCAAGAGGGTGCGACAGGAGCGCCAGCGATCACGAGATGATCGAGATGAGCAGTGGTGGAACATGCCAATTTGGAGCGGTGTTGATGATGGACGTGAATGATTGGTTCTACAATATTGCGGGGACGGGGGGCACACCGAGAAAGTAAGGAGCCCGTAAGGCATGAACAAGAGTACCATGCTTGCTTGTCGTGTTTTGGTGGTGGCGGGACGTGCGCGTCCGTGTCCCAGATGGTACTGGGGTCGTTTCTGATTTGCCTGCAGTTTCAAGAGGGCAGGATGTCGACCTTGTTGGGATGCCATGCACGCACGGACTGACCACAGCTTGTGTTACATTAGACGACGGTTGCGCTTGGTGTTGTAAATAGTGTCGTCACGATTTTGCCTCGATTTTTTCATTGTTTTTTTTATGACCTTTCCATGTGTCCATTATGGGAATGTTTCCTTGTTTGATGTGAATGCCTCCGTATTTTGTTGTATAAGAAAGGTTTGCCTCGAATTTTCCTTGCTTTCCTTTCTCCACTTTTTGTTGTGGTCGCTCTGCGCGTTGAACGAATTTCGCGCGTGGGTGGATCGATGTGCGTATGGCTCAAGCTTGTGCATGTCGTGAGTGCGACTACAATAACAAAGTTGTGTTCATTGGCAGCATTGTATGAGTGACAATCTCTCGCTGGAGTGACACATATTTGAAATTTGCGTTGGAAAACGATATGGAGTGTGAACGAAGTTCAGATTTTGCGATACTCGCGCAACCTCCGAAGATTCGAGCTATATGCATTTATTTCCCCATTAACTACTGTCTTTCGTGAGGTCTGGACAATGTACTTTGGACCGAAGTATAACTTTCATATTGACGATCTGAACTGGGTGAGAGCGTCGATATCTCGTCTCAAGAACAGCAGAATGATGGTTCGATCACCTCTTTCGGCTGTAATCGTGGCATAACTATTGTAGTCTACAGTACACTATTTATCCGGGGGTGACTATCTCCTGAAACAATGTGGTGCTGGCCTTCCAAAATTAGATTCGTCGCTAACGTCGCTACGGGTTCGGCAGAAAATATCGTCTAAGGTCGCTTCGGTGCCAATCTGTCTTTGAGTTCTGTATGGGTGCGGCAGCTTCGTCAGAGGTCGAAAGAGAAAGGAGGTTAACTCAAGACGTTGTTGTTTAGAGCGATAGTCGTGCAGGAGGCAAGAGGACCCCCACGCGGCGTTCCATCATTCACACGTCATCCGCGTAGCCCCCGAATGTCCCGTAGATCAGTACTCCGGTGACGATATACAATCTATGAAATGCCCCTCACGATTACTGCCAGGTAAAACGGCAATAAATCAAGCAATTCCCAGCCATCAACCGTAAATCATTCACCATTCCAATCTCCCGGTAAAACAATGCTTTACGAGATCTGTTGATCTCCCATTTTGTTTCAAGAAGAAATCGTTCAATTTTCTGATGTCAAAATACTGAAAGGTCCATCAATAAACTATCACCCGAGATGATGCTCCACCAATATCTCAAGCTGTTAAAAACAAACGATTGCCGGTGGAAAAATTCCTACAAGTAGCATAGGTCAACAATTATCGGAATATCTGAACGGGAACGGCGCGTAACTCGGGGGAAATGTGTCAACTGTTCAGAAGAAAATCGCCAGATGACAATCATGTTTCAACTCATTTACCAGTTCAACTTCGGGAGCACAAATAAAGGCTTCCACCCTTGACTGACTGGTAAAAAAATGCCAAATCCTTCCTCCAACACACTCAGTACATACCAGTACGACAGAAACTCCGCAAACAAATCGAAGTATGTTCCAGACGTGTCCGGCAACAAGCGTCCAGTAAATAAGAAGTACCAAAATGTTATCAAAACTGCTCCAGCTGCGGTTCCTCCTCATGAACTATTCTATCGAATGGCCCCCCTGCTGAGACATGTCAACTGAACGCGACGAAATCCCATTAAATCTTCATTTCCATATCGATTCTGTAACGTCTGCATTCCAAATCATCAGATAAAACTCCAAACCGCAACAAGAAAAAACCTAAATGTATCAAAGAAAAGGAAGTGACACGTGCCGCAGTGTAGAGACCAACCTTTGCGATACCGATGCTGGCGGTGTCAACGTTTGTCGGGATGACGTGATCTTCCTCATCGCCGTGGCCCAAGGCGCCGCTGTCGCCGAAGCCCCACCTAGCGATTCAGGCGTCGTCGATACCATGTGAAGAGCAGGCGACGTTGGTGTGCATTCTTTCTAGTGGCGCTCTAGCTTCTACACACGCTGCTCACACGCTGCTCAAGAAGCACCGTGCAACATGTTGCTTGGTGAGGTCAATCAGGTGTGCGAGGTTGTACTGATAGTTGCAGGAACACCGCATTGATAGGAACCTCAGCGGTGTGGTCCCTTACATAGGAAGGGAAAGAGGGGGGTAGGCTGACGCGAAAAGGTGGCGGGGGTAACACGGTACGCTGGTCTGGCGCGTCCTGTCCAGAATGTAGTGACTTTCAAGGCGGGGGGTACAACTGTGATGGGACCGCTGTCCCGGGGCGACGCTGTGTTCATGCGGTCTTAGGTGAGCCTACCGGGTAAACCACCCGTCGTTTGACGACCGACCGCTCTGTGTACCTCAGGACATTCGCAGAATCGCGGTGTTCGTTATCGCGCCTCCAGTGCCAGGAAGGGGACGCTTTACGGCTTTCGATATATCATAAGGTTTTGAGGATACTACCATCCACGACTAACTGCGCAACGTGTCTTGGAACAGTACTCAAGAAAATTGCTGTTGATATCGAACTCCAACCCGCGGTCGCCAGAATGTGTCTCCTCACGTGTATAACTCGAGGAGGTCGGTGATGACGGTGAGTGCCGCCGCTCGCCACTTTCACCACGCTCCCTGCGTCGGCGGGGAGGAGCACCTAGAAACCGGCCCGCAACAACAACACCGCAGCCAGCCGTGGGGAACACCAAGTTATCGCCGACGACCGTTATCGTTCATATCGGTCTTGCTAGATACTGCGGGGGATGTTTCGTGTTGTTCACTTTCACATATCCTTGTGTTGCAACGACGGCAATGACCAGCGTGGCCTGTGGGGAGGTCGAAGGTGCAAGATAGCATCATCGAAGAACGAGAAAACTATTTATTGCAGTGTGTGACACCGCCCGGAGGGAGCGGACCGCTTGACCGAGGTCGTACACACGAGAATCGTTGGCAAGCGCGGCGAGTGGGGCGCTCAAATTATTTGACTTGAACCCCTGCCCGAACGCCTAAAGGATAACCAAGTACATGTACGCCATTGGTGACAACAATATTTCTAGTATATTATCTCCCCCCCCCCCCCCTCTCTCTCTCGCTCTCTCTCTGCATCTGTATCTGTATCTGTGTCTCTCTAATGTCGCCGAGTTTCAAACGCGGTTGTTGGCCGCATCTCCACATAAATCTACAGCCGTCCCCGAGACAAATTCACCTCAGAACGTGAACCACGAACAGGATGACTCCCTATGGGAACTTGGCTGGAAGCGGAAACGGGATGGATTGTCGACTTCGACTGCTAAGTGATCTCGTGCGGCCTACATCACGCGCACCCTTGCACAAAACTGGACCTGCGCATTCGTCTACAACCGGCGCCATCCCGGGCGATTCGTTCTTTGGGTATGCCTTTCACGGAACCTAGGTCAAGCACATACGACACGGGTCTCGCCAATCCCGCGACTCGTCAACGTGACACCTGGAGATCTGTCCCGAACAACCCCGAAGCACATTCCCTCCAGAGGCGAGGGTACTAGTGCCGAGCCGTACCGCTGGTGGAACCAACAGTACCCAGTCGTTGGCTACCTACTCCCAAACAAGCCCAAGCGACCGTACGATTGACGTCTCCGTCCTTGTCGTTGCGGAGGTAACATCTCGTGTATTCGTGTCATCAAGGGGACGGTTCGCTTGGGCTTAGAGCAACAATATGATATCCGACACATCTATCGCCCTGAATATTCCGAGATAGAACGGACGGTGTGATAGGCTCTCTCTCATCGAGTATCCTCTCATCTAGGGTGAAATTCGTTTCACGTACAGCGTGGCAAAACTCACGTTTGATCTGCGAAGCCAGAGTCTAGCCCTCCGGACGTGTCCGTGATGGCGCGGTCCAGAATTGGTGGCTGGGTCTCGCTGGCGGTGGCCTGCAGGTTTCGGGCGGGAGACATTGACCGTGGGGCACGGCTGCGCGGCATCCTCCCGGCAGGAGAGGAGCTCCGGCTGCTGTTGCCGCGGTCTGTTCGTCGCTGTCGCCGCGGTGTCGCTGGCGATGGCGATGTAGCAGGCGCATCCCCGCCGACGGAGCGTCGGTTGGCGACGAGGGTGTCTGGGGCACGTTGGTGGCTTTCTCGGCTCGTTGGAGGGGTGCCGTCGATGTAGCTCTGATTTGATCAAGCACGTTTCGTGGCGGGTGGTGTCAGAAATACGATTCTTGAATAGTAACGTGTATGAAGGGTCGTTCGACGTTGTGCAACTGGTCAGTTTCGAGACAAGGTTCGCACTGGATTGCAAACGGCGGGTGACAAACAGCTTACAAATGTGAGGGAGAGGTGAGGGGAGCGTCGTGGCTGTCCAGGCCAAGTTTGGGGTACAGTGTGCGAAACCTACTGTCATCGGTGCCCTTACCTCGCTGCGAGGTCGGTGCCGTTGCCGGTTTGGCAGGAGGGTCTTGCCAAAGGGGCGTCGTACTCCATCCCCAAGCCCCTTGATGTCTTCCTGTGGGCATCCGCCTGCTGGGATGCCACTTCGTCGACAATGGACAAACAAGGGCTGGCGCTCTTTCCGCCGTCGGGTGCCGAAGGCCCCGCAGCTACCTCGCACCTGTCCGTGCTTGCAAGCCCCAAAGTGGGTTGGACAGTCCTTGACGGTATCTCCGACGGGAACTTTGCGCCGTCGATGTCCTGGAGTGGCTCCCCGCGGAAGGCTCCCGATACTGCCGTACGTGGTTCTGGGCCTTTGCCAGGGCTGACAGGCATACCATCACTTCCATCTATCGCGCAGGCAGGGCCATTGTTGTTGCTGTTGCTGTCGTTGTTGTTGCTGCTGCTCTTGGTGTTGGTGTTGTTGTTATGGTTCTCTTTCCCCTCTATAAATCGTGGTGTGAGCCCCGGGGCGTGTTGGCCCTGTCCAGCTCTAACCGCTGCCATTTCCCCCGTCCTGTGGGTGAGTGACAGACTGCCGTCTCCACCCACACGGTTCTTCCGCCGCCGCAGGGCCGAAGTGAGTTTACCCAGGGCGGGTGGCTGGGAAAAATGACGCGTCACCAAGGCCCGAAGGATGTCTCCGGCCGCCTTCGGCGTGGATCGCTGTTCCATCTCGAAGCGTGCCTTGGCCAAGTGCAAAGACAGGGATGCATCGCGATGGTCACAGTCTGCTATCCCTAGTCTGCTATCCCTTTGGGATCTGCCTAACCTACCTACTGAGCTGGGTGACAGAGGTGTGATCATCTGTCTTGTCCACTGCTTGTGGATCCAGACCTTGCGCGGATACCGAGATGCTGACAAGCCAAGCGTGGGTTCGTCGTGCGAAAAGATACCCAGCGTGATTCTTCGTACGTAAGATGCCGAGTCCGCGAGGGATTCCAGATTTCGCGTTTGCGCCAGCGCGCTGATGCGAGACAGGTGAGACAGTGCTGTGGTGTATCGCCACCACCTTGAGAAAAATGAAGAAAAGAGAGAAGGTCATGTATTATCGAGACTGTTGAAATGATACTGGCACGGAGCAGTGTGGTGTTCCCGGTCGCGGCGAGAACTAGCTCGAGAGATGCTTGCTGTCTACCTCTATTGAAAAAAGTCCATTATATGCTCTATTATAGAGCGAAGATTCCAAACGTTGGTTGAGGGAATGACGTTTGAAGTCCATGATCCGTTGCCGCCATACCCAACTTTCGCAACGGGTCGTTAGGGCTGCCCTATCATCGATGTCCCAAGAATAAGTAGCAACGCCTCTGAGCTCACCATGGAGAAGACAAAAGACTGAATTGTGAGTCAGTCTTCGCTACAAAACCAACTAGCTGTTGTTACAGGTTGTCGTATCAATTTCGCGAAAGGATACATGTTACCTTTGGAGAAACACCACTCCAAACTCTCGGCTTCGGGCCCGCTTCCATCCTAGCAGTCCGCGCCAAAAGGCTTGAACGGTCACTGCCGCTGCCGCTCGCCTGGTCGCTCGAGACGCATGGCGGCGAGCGCTGATCCCTCGAGCTAGCGCCTGCACACCAACCGCTGCCGTGACCAATCTCTCCGTTCTCATCCGCACACGAGCTTCCTCCCGGTACTGTCGGCTTCTCCTAATCCTCGTCCATCGCTGTAGGACCACCGCTGCCTTGGTTCGAGTACCCGCGAGGAAGAGAGCGGAGTCAACTGCCCGCACCATTTCTGCAGCGGCTAATTGATGAATGTCGTCAGAACCGACGTGACGATTGGTTCTGCTCGCTGGGAGGAAGGCAACCGTCCCGCCTGCGGTTGGAACCTTCGCCTCCTCGAGACTGTCGTCGCCTAAGTGCCCGGGGTCTGCGGCCTGCTGGTGCCTTTGCACGCGTGCACCCCTCCAAAACCGCTGGACGGAAACAGCAGCGATCGCCCTCCTCCTTACTTCTTCCACAAGCGCGTCACACGTCTGCGTGACGTGCCCCAGGAAAATCCCCGCCTCGACCAGAGCCTATTGGATAGAGAAGCAAGCAAAGTGACGACACCGAGTTGTCGTTAGTGCGTTGCACGCGGTTGACTCACACCCTTGTACTCTAAATCAAGGTTAAGACACACCAGCAATAGCTACTAAGCTTGGGCATCCCCGGAAAAGGAACGTGGTGACAAACCAAGGCTTACCGTAGGGCATGGAGTCAGAGGTTTGGTTCCGAGGCGACCAGTTTGACGAACTGTAACACTTCGTTACCCGGAGTGCTTGCTGGTGCTGACGAAGCTATGCATATGTATTCTGGCGCAACAAACCACACTTCTTGACTCCCTCTCCAATTGAGACACCCATTCACCTCTCGAGCCTCCTGCGCGCCTATCATCCTGGCGAAGTGCCGAACAAGGAGTGCGTCTGACAACAGAAGAGCTTCGGCCGCTTGAAGAATTTTCATGAGACACGGTAAGTTCCGCTTGTGAACGATAGCCCACTTCCCGAGGTCTCCCAAGGCCATCATCGCTTCTTCGCCCTTTACACCGATTGTCCCGGCTCGTCTCGGCCCAAGCATTTGATGCTTGTTTGCCCTCGATCTGGGAATGTTCTTCTCGGTATTATTCGCCCTTAAATGGAGCCGCCGCAGCTGTCTGGCGTGGTCAACGATCGCGGCCGCCCGCTTCCTCCCTTCATCCGTAATAGCAAGGGAACCATTTGCGGTCGCCACACCTCCAACCGTAGGGCTCGGAAAGGTCAAGGCCCGCGAAGCCGTGAGACCGGCCTCGACCACACACGCGCACAGTGCCAACACCGAACCCACGTGCTCCACCACCCCCACCGGTGTGTGGGAAAGCGCGTCTAGAAGGGTGCGCATCGACCGTTGGCCGAACATGCGTACAACCTTGTCCTTAACTGCAGTGCTAGAAGGCGGCATCTTCTTAGGAGGTCTCCGCAACATTCTTCGATGATCGTAGTCCTCCTTCGAATTTGGTAACCAGGGTAAGTCGCAGCAACAACAAGGTTGGGCGCGCGGTTCTTAATCTTAATGTCTGATACGCCAAGTACCGAAAGACGTAGACTGGCACCAGAACACCATTAGGCCGAACGAACACGCACAAAGTACACACGTCCGGTAGAGATAAAGTGTGTGGGAAGATCGAGGAGTGGTACCGCCCACGCCATCGACACCGCAAATTTCATCCAATAGTCAATATTGGGTGTGGACGACGAGTTCGGATCGCAGCCGACGTGTTGTGTGGATCGTCTTTGATGATGCACTCTCTCAGACATCTAAATAGTAACGAACACCTGAGCCCTTCGGGGCCTTCGGAGAGACTGATATACAGCGTGAAGAATACCATGGGCAACGGGCAAGATTTGGCACCACCCATAACGTTTCTCGAACCTAAAATCTACCTACAGAGTACGATGTTGGAGCTGTAGTTCGCGAAGGAAGAGGCACTTCGTTGATGCTCCGCACCAGACATGGCTGATGGTGTGCGCACCTGTATTTGCGCGAATGTCTGTGCCGAAAATCGATGATACGATCATGGCACTGCATGAGTCAGTTCGCCTTTTAGACTGTATGCTGGAAGTCTACATAGGCTCGTAGAAAAAAATGGCATGAGCGGTTTTTTCGTCCACGTACAACGGAACGAGGCACTCACCAAGAACAGCACTACTGTAAGCATCGGCAGCGATCTCGGTTATCGAACGAGAGAAACAGGCAGCGAATTTCCGCCCGTCTCGCAGCGCGCCGTGCCTGTGGTTAGGGAAGATGAGGTCCCTATTGGACAAATCGCATACATACAATATGACATACGTATAGTCTACATAACCCCCCGGTTGACTGCTGCAAGGACACAGGATCGTCCCGAGAGCACATACAATTTCCATCAACTCGCACTCACCAATCAGGGTCCGGGCCATCTAGCCTTCCTCGTAAACTGACCAAGCAGCGTGCGTAGCTCTAAGTTTTTCACTAGTGCGAAGTGCTTGGGACGCGTTTGCCCGTGCTTCGTTTGAGCCCCTGCCTTGTCGGCCAGCGATAACCGATGCGATGGACTCAAAAATAATTCGTGAAACCGTTTTGTTGTAGATAGATCCCGCCGCCATAATTATAAGCATCCTCCCCGAACCAAAATGTGAAACCCGCCCGCCCGCAGGTGGTCGTCTCTCTGGCTTTCTTCAGATGCACTCCACACTCCTTGCATCACGTGTCGTGCAGTAGGTTGCTTCGAGTGAAGTCGAATTCCGAACAAGGGCTGGCAAGATCGCGGCTTGGCCCGTGTAAGCCATAGCGGTGGTCGAACATACAGCAGTAGGGACATTGCGGCCTAACCTGCCTGCCCAACTGAAAGAGCGGGACAAGCTGGTACACTTCGAATCAGCATGGTCAATATTGAAGAGGTGCGCGGTGGGGAGGAGGGACACACCGGTGGCGACTGGGAATCAGAGCTGGGTTCGCAGCGAGATGTGAGTGTGCACCAGAAATCGATGTATGGGACTCGTGTTACGCTATTGGTAGACCGGACCGTGTACTTGTACGGAATCGGGTACTGAATCGTGTAGACTCCTGGGTCGTGGCGGGGTTGTTGTACGTGTGACACGCCGTTGCTGCAGCCGAGACATGTGTATGTACTGGAAGTCAGAGTGTGCGACTGCTCCATAGGTACAGTCAGCGCCCGCACTCAAGAACTTGGCACTTAAAAAATTTCATGCTCAAAATAAGAACTGAGCACCATTTGTGCGCCCCTCACTCGACCCAATCTTCAAATGTATTGCTGTACATTCGTATGCACAGCCTTCAACCTTACAGAGAACCCTCGCCTCGACCAAAACTAGACGTTCTTTTTGTGCGGGCGCTGACTGTATCGCTCGAACACCGGGAAGCTTGCTTGCCGCGAGATAGGGTACAACCGTGACTGCCGACCTTCAATGCGTACCAATGCTGCGTCGCGTTCTGACAGCAGAGCATAGTCAAAGTTGCCGGGTGTCACAATTTCGGAAACAACTAGAAGTACTACTGGTACAGCACACGGCATACTTATGATACTTGGTTCAGTAGTGTATTGACTTCACAAGAGGGAGGCTATAGTCCATGCAAAGGGTGGAGCGAAAAGGGAATGCTGCGTCCCAGCACATGACGCAAGAGGGCCCCATGTATCATCACGGTCCCCATACTCCCTATGGAGTCTCGACCAGTAGTGTGACACAAACCGTACGGCGGACGAATCCAATCAATATCCGTCAACCTGCCAACACTTTGCCATCTGCAAGTGGTTGTCCACAACAAGTCTGCACGTTTCTTTCGTCGGTCGCAGCGACTCGTCAACATCTCAACATCATCTTATCACGCTTAGCAAACCGCTGCTGGTGCTTCTCGAGACAGTCCCCCGTGACAACGCTACCGTGTTGAATAGCTTCGGTGGAAAGAATCTGCTGAGTCTGCTTTCCGCGGCTGATAGACTTCGTTGCCCACAGCAAGAAGAAGGGCCGCGGCAATGGTGACGTACAGTGGTTTTGAGGCAAACATGGCTGAGAGCTTTCTGTATTGACTTCGAGCACTCTCCGTAGATGCCACCCTCTATATTTGGAAAATAAGCCGAGCTTGTATTATAGAGCTCCCCGGACTTGCAGCATCAGTGTCAGCCTACACGTTTCGTGTGTCGTCTCAGGCCCGTTGGAATGGTGAAACCACAGAAGCAAATATTTATTTGTGGTCGGTTCTGTTTCTCCCTGAGATTCATTGGCCGTCAGTCTTTGTCTGTTCGTATTTCCTTTACATAGTCTATGAGCGTCCTCTTGGCTCTTGTTCCACGACGCTCTAAACGGCCCCAACCATATCCCCTGTGTACCATGCCCCTGGTTCAACATCTTAACCTAGAAGGGAGGGATTCTACTGTGCAAATATACAAGAACTAGGGGGAACGAGTGCCCCCCCGCCCCCCAATGGGGCGGGCGGCAAGCATGCGTGGGATGGATGCGGGACGCGATGATGACATCGCTTCGAAAAAAGTGTACTCGAAGTCGGCATAGTTAGGTAGACGATGTGAGGTCGATACGTCCGTCCGTCCGTCCGTTGCGTAGATCGGTGTTCTGCAAAATGAAATGAAAACACCTTCCATTCTGCACCTTCCCAGCATAACATACAGATAGATGTACAAGACGGCCACCAAACTGTCTTGTTGAGCCTGTTGCCCACAGGGGAGATATCGCTGTGTGGTGCTCGGGAAACCGTGGAAATACAGGTAACTGTCGCTGACGACGCTATGAATGAACTGCTAATCTATCTTAGGCTCTTTTCTTAGACAGAGATGGATTCGTTGGGTCATGTTCAGAAAAACAATAAAACAAAAAAAGAAAGGGATTTTCGTGGAATGGTCGATGCCCGATCACAAAACGTGAAGCGGACGGAAGACGGGGGTGGGGAAAATAAGCCGACGACGTATAAAAAAGTGTTCTTGTATATATTTGATGTGTTTTTGGTGACATAAGCTACGTATGCAACCACATATTAAAGTATCTTGAGTAGTTCTTTGGTGTTGACCGGGACCAAACATTCAGGGTGGCAACAATGAGCAAGTTGGACGGGCAATAACGAAGGAAAGACAATATTTTATTCAGAAAATCAACGTATTTTTCGGAAAAAAAATGTGTGTTCTGAGCGGAATCGAACGCATGACCTTGTGCGTACAGAGTCATTCGAGGGATTCGCTCTGCCTCTATAGTGTCTGAACCGGCCTTCCTCGTGTTTCCGAGCGAGGGAGTAGTCTTTTGAATATATTGTCTTAGTTACAACAAGGATACGCGCATTCACTAGTCCACAGCACGCCGAAGTGTTGCAGTTGTCCTATACGTTAATGGTCGTACATAAACACACCTACCTGCCTATCATTCTCTTCTACTACCGGTACAACTCTACCACTCACTCCTCCACGTACTACTTACACACCTCTTTCGCCCTTTTCCTTTCTCAGGACCCCACCCACACCCGCACTCACATCTATCTCCGACGGGCAGGGGGAGCAATACGAATGTGTGGGTGGTTCTTATGCGTGCAGAGGTTTATCCACCCATCACCAATCAATGCTATTTATCAAGTTCGTGTTGATTCAGATTTTTTCCATCACCAATCAACGCTTGCTGTCTTGGTGATGTTTCGCGAGTTTTCGTCCGATGATGGTGGTTGAGATGGTCACAGCGGTAGACACACATACGTGTTCGTCGCATGCCACAGGTTGACGCTTGGTCGCGTGTCATCGTTGAGCGCAGGGTACGGCAGCAATGTTCACCAGCATCTGGATGATGATGTAGCAAGAACACCTTGTGAATGATGAGATGGCAAATTGAGAACCCAACGTGAATCCGCGAAACACCACCAAGAACAAAATACGTTCTTCGCTGCGTGTGCTTGTGCTAAGACTTGTCTACAGCAGCAGTGTTTCACTTGGCCCGGTGGCGTCACAATGCCCTTCGCCCGGTCGTAGGAGGTATCTCATGCAGCCGACGTCGCAAAGATTCGTCATAGTTTTCGGTCTTACCCAACGTATCACACAATCGGCGTGGGTAGCAGCAAGCACAGGAAACACACATCATCATTATATGTTCGGTGTTATCTAGTGCGGTAGCAGCCACAGACGCATGCCACGGTTGACGCAAGGCCGCATGTAGGTCCTTGTTGAGCGCGAAACACGTCTTGTTGGAGAGTCATCACTGCACGCTCAGCAGCAATGTTCAGCAGTAGTATCTGGATGATATACAAAAGTCTACGGCTGGACAGTAGAACACTCTGTGATTGATGATGGCCAATTTTGAGTCTGAAACATCCTCGAACGAAACATGCTCCACATTGCGGGTGCATGCGCTAGGACTTGTCTACAGCAGCAGTGTTTCACTTGGCCCGGTGGCGTCGCATGGAAGTACCCTTCGCCCGGTCGCCGAAGGCATCTCATGCAGCCGATGTTGCCAAGACACGCCAATCTTCGGTCTGGCCAACGTCCACAAAAAAAATCAAGCTACCTTATTTTTTTTTTCCATACGATGAGTAAGAAATGTGTCACGACACGACCGCCATCCTGTGAGTATATATATAACATGATATATCGAAATTTCAGCAACTCCAGCCCCTGCCATTTTCCCTGCTAGCTTCCGTTCACGCGATGGCTTCTGTTCTGTAGTTTTCTTTTTAATCGCCAGCTTTGGGGTTTGTTTTGTTGTTGCCATCGTCACTTTCAAGTTCATTGACGTTGATTTCGGTGCTACCTGTTGCGGCACGATGTTTCAACGAATCCCGGGTGAAAATGCCGGTGTCGCAGGTGGCGTTGGCGATGGCACGGCAACTCTCCCAGCAGGTGAGCACCAACCTGTCGTCCAATTTCTCTCCGTTGCAGGATCTTAGCCCGTCCTGCTATGGTGGTGTGGCACACTCGCTCTGAGGTAGAGACGTTAATGGCGTGTACGGAATGTGTCCTCGAGATTCGGTACGTTCCCGGTGGTGGTGGTGAAACGAGTTGAGGCATGCTGCTAACCCCGCAGCCCACGCCCTCGACACGGGCAATGAAATGGGCCCTCATCGCAGCTGGACGGCCAACGGGAGACTTTGGAGCGAAGGGCGACGACGGCAGAGGCTTTGCGAGATGTTTCCAGGCAAAAATGCAGCGACTGTCTCGAGAACCACATGGGAGTGAGTGAGTTGTGGTTTACTGCTGTTCTGCCGCCGCTCCGTCCAAGAGACGGGTTGCTGCACAATCTGCGTTGGCCTCCCCCCCTTGCCATTCATGCTGTGTGCTTAACTTTCACGCTTCTTGCCCTCGGAAGAACCACCCGAGGCAACCTTCTGACCGACGTTTTGTTTCATTGATTTTATTTGATTTGCATACGCTCATTATTGAGGTTGGGCAAACTAGCAGATGCAGAAATCTTTGACGCACGAGGGTTCACGTACTTCCACATTCCCCGAGACATAGACCTTCACGAATGAAGCCTTCCCTTCTAGCTAACTTGGCGCAGCCCGCCTACCATGCTTCCAATGACCTTCGTAAATGTCGGAAGGGATCCCGTACCGACCCACTCCACGATCTTCCGTCTTGCACACCACTCCAACGAACCCTGATGGACGTAGAAACGGCTAACTTGGAAGGTTCGAGCAGCTGAGTTGTGAACGAACATAACATGTCTTTGTGTGTGATGCTACGTTTGTTCAGCGAAATCAAGCTGCTGAGGTACCAGCGAGATTAGCCGGACTGGTGGGGGGGTCTCTGTCGGCGTGGCTTTTTTGCGTGGCGTTGGGGTTGACCTGGGCTCCGCGGGCTGCTCTGGCTTTGGTGAGGAATAAACTTGTTTGATGATGAAGGAAGTGTCTCCCTAGGTTTTTTCAACAGCTCAGACTGTGTCGCCCAGGGTCAGAAAGTGCACCTGCGCAGGCGTTTTGATCCCGACCACCAATTAGCAAAGCATTTGACGTCTTCTTTGCCTCGATTTCTTGGCACGTGTACTTCGTTGCTGCTTCGAGTTCCCCGCCTTCCATCGCCGAGCATGTTGCCACCTCGCCATTCATGTCTGTAGCTGTAGACCTTGTGTCCAACGTGTACATCTAGAGTTGGCCTGCATCGACCATTTGTGTTCGGCCAGTAGCGGCCTGCTGATGTTTCTCGTGCGCACTTTCGTTACTTGCGCCGTTTTTTGACGTAGTCCTTTCCTTAATATTCAGCCTTTCTCTTCCTCAAATTTGGGAGTCCATCTACGTAGTCCGGGTTCGAAACACTTTCCGTCAATCACTCTCGCACCCTTGCCCCTTTTTTCTTGAAGGGAATACCTTGCACGCTGGTGATGGCAGCAATATGCTCGAAGCACATGCCCCGGCCCAACGTGAAGCGACGGAGCGATTGATAGATGACCGAGAGTCGGGAAGGAGCTGTATCAAACACTGATTAGGTTAGATGTTCAAGGGTATCGTGTTGTGTAGCACCCCCCTTCCCCCTTTCTGTGGTTGTTTTGTGAAATCTAGCTACATACCAGTTCTTGCAGTAGGGGTCACAGGTTTGGAATCAACCTGCTGCTACTTTGCGCCGTCGTATGAGGCAAAACCGGCCTCTTCACTTGCCGAAGGGAGGCAGGATACTGCTGTGGACGACGTCGAACATAACCCTCCCGGAAATGGGTTTATGAATCATCAACTTATCAGATCGATTCCTCAACAGGGGGTGTAGTTTTCCTTGCCGAGAGCCTTCTGTAATGAACCGGAGGCTAGGTATGGTCTATGCGCAACTCATCATCTTCCCTCCTGTTCGTTTGACGGTTGTTGTCGTAGGTTCGTTTCTTGTGGCCTTGGATACGTGGCACTCATGGTTCAATCTTTGTAGCGGAGGGGATATTGGTCCAGACGTCGACGACGTTTGGACGGGCGGCCGTAACACACCGATACACAAAAAAAAAGTGCTTTGATCGGGTGCATCAAATTCGATAACGCAACACACACAACAACAGCGACAGCATGTAACACATGGACGACGAATATTCAGTCTGTACATGACAACACACATCAAAACGACGATATCACCATCAACATAAATCCCTTCAAAACAGTACGCCAAATAGGCTGCAAGGTTTTGCAAGCCTCTATCAAAGTCGAACCCGTACTGTACAAACCGCTCAACAAGTATCACAGCAAATGCCTACCCCGGGCGAGTGTTGGATCCAACGGGCTACGGTTGGACGACGTGGCCTTGCACGCGAAATGTGCAACAAGACCGGCAAGACATCAACACCACAAGGTCTCAGGAAGGTTCTCGGCAGTGCAAAGGCAGATATCGTGCGCCCAACTCAATAGGTTCGCGAACTGGAGAGTACACTACATCCAAGGCAGGCCCCGGCATGTGTTGGGACAGGTATTGACATAAGACACCGGCAAGGCAAGGACACATTGGATGTCGCTCCGCCGAGGAACCCTGATCGTGCCAAGCGACTTGCACGCACACATTCCAAGGAACACCGCCACTTTGGAATCGCTGCCATATGGGCAAGACACCACCCTCATAATCCAAGGTACGAAATACTTGCCCCCCACTCTCTCCCCTCAAGTTCCTCCGACACAAAAGCCTAAAGCACGGCATCCGTACGCTGCATACCTGGCTCGCACTCGGGGTTCAAGCTGCTTCGGTGGGAAGGTGGGCAATAGGTGCTTCGAACGACGCACAGCCTCTCAAGGCTCTCGACCCGTGACGACCGCAGCAGGTTTGAGTTGACGCGGTTCAAAAATGTACGGTCCTACGAGGAACAGTCAACCCCGTGTAGAAGCACGCCACGGTCATGTCCACCCAACACGCCAAAATAGCAAAATTGTCCAACGAGGCAAACACTGGCACGCTGCACGAGGCCCTCCCCGACACGGAGCCCCCTTGTTGCGACAGCGGGCACTGCATGAGATGGAGCAGCCGCTGAATTGAGAGCGAAGACAAGCGCGCCTAGCAATGACGGCGATGTTGGATACGTCAGAAACACCGTCCCTTGCAACAAAACTCGCAACTCATGGCCCGAGCTCTACATGGCTAACGCCCACATTTTGATCAATGTGAAACAGAGCCCGTATTCTCGTCACGCAACAACATCCACATAGGTCGCGGGCACGTGCAGACGGGAGACGCACTCCACGATACCCTACACTCCCCGAAAAGCTACACTACGCCCCCCGCCCGACACTCACCGCGCTGCCGCCAGCCGTCTGACGAAATTGGCACCGATATTCGACAAAGGATCTCCACCAAAGCGGTTTCAAACACGGCTAGAAGTTTGACAGCGGCCTCATAGAGAAGACGTGAAACAAGGAAGTCTCGATGGGGGGGTTCCTACAAGGCAAGAGTCACCTAAACGAATCGCTACACCGTCCCGTTTTCGCCGTAGAGCCAGAATCTCACCGTGGTATGAAGCGGGCGTTCCACAAAACGTAGTGCAACAAAAAGACCTCCACGACCCACCCACAACACGACGCAAGAGCAACACCGTTCTTTTCCCACACGACAAAAAAGCCATGGCGACACCACGCACAACTCCGTTCCAGGCAGCAACTCTAACGCAACCACGCAAGTAAATCACCACTACCACGCGACGCTGAGCCTATCCGACGTAGAGGTCCCGGCCGGGATGCCTACACCGTAAATGGCGCTCCTCGGTCTTCATTAGCGTTCCGCCCCCACCCCCAACCCCCCGCCACCTCCGTCGCCAAGCGGACGGCGGACGGTAACATTGTAGCCAAGGCTCGACAGCACTGAGGCGAACGAGGGGGTCACGGTGGTAGCAGACGTTGCCGCCGCTGGTGCTGTTGCTGAGGATGGAGAGTCTGACAGAAAGGGGGAGTCGAAACTGAGAGGAGCAGTAGAAAAGGGGAAAACGGGGAGGGGCATTCACGTTTACGTTTACGTTTGTCATTGTGTCACCAGATAGATTGTATCAGACGAAGCAGCCGCTTCAAGACGGACAAGTAGTGGCGAGAGCTGGCATGGGCGGTGTTGAAATGAACACGTTGGAGTGAAATGACGCACAGCACGCCATCGGGGATGGAGCACTGAGTTGAGTGTGCCAGAAATGTCGATGTTTCAAGACGACAACTCGGTGGCCGCTCGCTATGGCACGAGCGACGCAAACGGCAGCCAAAATAGCGCAGAAATTATGGTGCACATGCAGAACTTCGACGACCGGTCGCCAGCCGCACTGGCGAAGAAACATTCGGCCAGATCACCGGTTCGTTGTTGCAGCCACGGACGGACCGTCTACATACACCGTGTACCTCCGAGGAAGCTGCGACGAAGTCAACAAGAGAAAACACTCCTGCAGCCAACGCAACGTCTGTACAACGAAATCGATCGGCATAGGCCGCTGATTGCCAACCGACAAAATACAAAGAGCCGACAGATGTGCCACTCACACCTACATCATGCCGTGCTAAGTGCTGGGCCACTCTTTTCAGCCGGCCGTAAGCCTTTCGTCTCTCCAGTCAACAGCTACAGAGTGTCTTGACGAACGGACATCACCTGCGCGCGCTTCCCCCCGCGGCTGTGACGGCTGCGGCGGCTTTTGCCTTCGCGGCTGCGGCTGCTGCTGCGCTACTCCACGCCGACGACCGGATCTCAAGACCCACCGCGCTTGGAAGAGACTCGTAGGCCGGCGCTTGCTTCACCCGTTGACGGGATACGGGGGAGCTCGAGCCTCCGTTGTTGCTCCGCGGCTTCTTGCGGACGTTGATCATCCCCGCCTGCCAAGCACCGCCAATGCAAGCGCGCGGGGATGAACCCACCGAAACGGGGGGAAATGGCGGCTACTGCGGCAAAAGCATGTGTTGGTCGTGATGTCCGGAGGACGGGCCGTGCAATCAGAGAATGAAACAACAGGCTAGTCGTAGCGAACGAGTCACGCACACAAACGCTTGATTCAAGCAAGGAAGATAGGGCTGTTCTCGCGCGGACGATCACCCCCACCTCCGCCGAAAGAGGTTGCGACGATCAATATGGCAAGGAAACAATGCTCGAAAACCAAATCACACAACGATTTGATCACGTCGGCAACGTTGTTGCGCGTGAGACCAATGTTCTAGACAAGTACGGCGGTGGCGGCGGTGGACAGACCCCCGCGGTGATCGTCCCACCACCGTGCGACAGCTTCGCGGATCTGGTACGGAACACCCAATGCATACCAGCTTGTGGGTTTCGCAGAACGAGGCCTTGTGATCTCCCAGAAACGCGAAACTCGGGCGCTTGATGCACCTGAGAACGGGAACGCACGAGGTGCCCACACCCGCGCGGAAAAAGCAAAGCATACGCAAAGCCCAAACACAAAGTGCCATCGGAGTAGCGCGTTTGAAAATAGACGCGGCGGCAGGTTGCGTGCGCGTTGCTAAAAAACGTTGTTGTCTGAGGGTGGAACGTTGAAGTAATGGGTGCTGGCATGTTACCGGTGGCATTACCAGGATCATCCGAACTTGAACACGGTATATCATGCCGCAACCGCAAAAAATAAAAAGCAAACTTGGAGATACAAGGGAAGTTGGAGATGGTGTGGAAAAAGGAATGCATCTCCCCCATGTCTGTCGAGGACTCTTCCCGCTCTTCAAATGGACGTAGTGGCGAGATGTTCAACTCTGGTGGCACACGACAATGGTTCGATCCCGCCGCCCGCCTGCCTGCAACATGGTGGGGACAAAACCACACCATTCGAGCTGGTTGACAAGGGGTTCAAAAACAAAAAATCGAACTCTTGCTGCCTTTGAAGCATGCTCAAAAGAGGTCGCACGAGCAAATCGGCTCGCCGCCAGACGGTCGGGTTCCCAATTACCCCTGGAAACCTTTAATGCCTACTTAGCCCACGAGAAAGAGCAGCCCCTACGAGAGGACGGGGGGGGGGAATGGAGAGTGCCTTCAAAAACAGCACCTTGACAAAGGGTAACATCTGCTCAACGTCTGCCGAGGTCGATTCCTTCCATGTACAGGGGGTTGGGAAACCGCCAGCAGACGCAGGTGGGGCGTGCGCCGGAAAAATCTCCCAACCATCTTGCGATAGCTCAGGAGTTGCATGATCAGCTCGCACGATAGATGCCGCATCTTTTCCTTTTCGTTTTCACAAGAGGAAATCAGGAATAAGTCGCTTCGAGGTCATCTTCTCCGTATAACTGGTATTCCGGCGGGTGTTGCGGTTGTTAATCTCTGTGCTGCGGTTGTTTATCGACGTTGGTGACGGTATTTAGACGGAAAATAGTGTTTTACCCACTGCTGCAAACCAATACTTCCCGCTTGCAAGCTGCCTCGACGAGAAACAAAACGTTTTGATTCGTTCCGTGGTGGCGAAGAGTTGATCCAGCATGATCCCGAAAATTCTTCCGATACCGAGAATCGCTTGATTAATACTACAAATTGTCTGTCTATGGTGGTTGGAAATGTCTCAAAAACCGATCAACCACTAGAATATAAAACCCCATTTAGGCTTCTGGGGCTTGATTGCGTACCAGAGGGTTGTGCAAACCTCTCATATCTCCACCCTCATAACATACAGATAGCAGAGACTCCGCTCCTCCGTAAACCAAACTTATTTTCTCACCCTTCGGCTTCACATTTGGGAGAAGTCACGTTGATCATCCCAGCCCTCTTGTGCGTGCGACAGTAAATAGCCTTCTGCTTCCCTGGCATGTTGTAGCTCGGCTGGTGGTTGCAGCTACATCAAGCAGCATCGAGGCGAAAACGTGTGGGAAAAGGGATTAGGGGAAGCGGGGGTCATCAACACGTTTAGAGCACGCCTGGCACTTCGCCCGACTGCAGAGAATGAAATCTGGCACCAGTTCCGCACAACGTCCGACTGGGCAATTACAGGCAAACTCGAACCACATCGGGGGGAATGGGGTGGGAAAAGAGAACAATCCTGGCACAAGTATTTTACCTACCTCTCCGTTTGACACAAAATCGGCTGTTGAACTCGAACAAGAGATAGGCACCGCGTAGAGAACGAAGCTGTTCAAAGTGACTCGCCTAGGAAGGACGGTGCCTGCTTGGCACGCATTGTCCACAAAGCAATCACAGCAAACTAGATCATCCCTGTATACATATCAGCCGTAAAAGTTTTCGCATCGATCCTGACACCGAGTTTCAACTTTTGGTGGCAAATAAGCTTGCCCTACGCCGGGAAAGCTAGCGAAGTACTTATACACATCACCCCGCCACCAGGCAATGTCTTCGGCGCCCGCACCGTGGGTCCATGCAGAGCCGATGAGTCACGTTCACCATCCCGGCGTCGCTGTGAGCGCTGCAGTACTTCGCCGGCTCCCCACGCATCGCAAAGCTCGCTCCCAGCTGGCAAGTGCCGTCGGCGCACCGCCTCTTCCACGCGTTCGGCGGGCTCCGCTTCTTGACGGGCCCCACCGCGCTTCTCCTCTTCCTGGTGGTCCCGACACCGGGGTCATCCAGGGCGTCCTCGTCGTCTTCGGGGTCGTCTCCACCAACGTCGACCAGCAGCGCGTTCGAATCCTCACCCCACCCCCCGTCCCCACCACCGGCACCGCTATTCGCCGACCGCATTCGTTTTTCTCCCTCAGGGCGGGAGACCCGTTGTCCCTGAATCGTGTAGTTCTCTTCCTCCTCCTCAGGCTCCTGTTCTTCCTCATCCTCTTCCTCCTCTCCCTCTGAGCTCGACCCTAGCACCAGCGCCTCCCCCGACACAAAGTCTTCCTTGCTGTACCGCGACCACCCGCCGGCCTCCGCGCTCTTCCTGCGCTTCCTCACCGGCCTACTGCTGGGTGCTGGAACGGCATCGCCGCTACCTTGGCCGTTCCCGACAGTAGCATTGGAGATCGCGGTCGTCGCACTCGAGAGTACTGCCGTCTTGCGTGGTTCAGTCGACAGATCAGCAGCAGGTGGTCGCCGGGCAGCTGGCCGTCGCCCCTCCTCCTGTTGCTGCTGCTGCTGCTGCTGCTGCTGCTGCTGCTGTGGGCTGCCATCGCCGGCGACCCCTCCTGCCGGTGCTGGCGATGCCGCTGACAAGTTTCCCGCCGGTGATGCGACTACTTGGGCGTCGGCTGTTCGAAGCACTCCCACCTCAGGCGGTGGCAACCCAGGCGGAGACGCATTCCCATGACTGCTGTCCTGATCACCGTGGTCTATCGTAACCGACCCCGCTACTCCTGCGGAAACTGCAGCCCTCGACGCGGGAGGCGGAGGTCGCGGTGCAGGCAAGCGCTCCGCCGCATCCGCGGACTTCCGTTTCACGCATCTCTCCGCTTCGTCCACGACAAATTTTTTCTCCCACACGGTGAGGGCGCTCTTCATCAATTCTTGTGCAGCGAGCATAGCTGGCCAACGGTTGGGTGAAGCGGCCATGGCGTTACTAGCGGCAGATACGGTTTCCGATTTGACCTTGTAAAGCACGTGCACAGTACGATCCGTCGATGCCATAGGCCTCGACGCGACGGCTAATGCCGCCCTTGCGGCCGCTGATGTAGTCGCTTTCGTCAGTCCCGCAAAATTCCGGGCGTTGCCGCGCCGAAGTTCAACCTCCATTTCCTTGGTAAACATTTCCTCCATGCTCGCCTCAGTATCTGTTGCTGGCGCGGCCGGAGACTCATCCTCTCCGGAAACGGTGGCTTTCTCCCCGCCGACGGTCTCCGCAGCACTTGTCGAACGAGGAGAACCGCACGCATTTTCTTGCCTCGAGACGGTCTCCCGTTGTGCCGACGCTCCCCTGTTTCTCGGCTGCTGCTGATCATTCCTGACAACCCTTTCGGTAGGGATTGACGAGCCGTTGCTGTCTACAGTGGATGTGGCTACCATGCCGCCACCCCCGCGTTCTGCTACCGTTACGACTGCGACGGCACCTGGGGGTGGGGCTTCCGCCAGCGGAGAACCCTCGCTCTCCGCAGCAGCGTCGCCCCTCGACGAGCCGGAGGCAGCACCTTGATCGCCATGCTCTCCGTCTACTCCGTGTGGTGGTGCGCATACTCTGCTGCCGTCGGCTACATTGACCCCTATCTCGGTCACTGGCTGAATAGATGTACGCTGGGAAGAAGATGTCTCGCCAAACCCTGAGCAAGAACTTGCAACATCAAACCCTTGGGGGCTGGAACTCGAAGCAGCGTCAGCACTGGATCGATTCTTGAGCCCAACACCCGCTGTGGTCGCGAGACCGAGAGATCTCCCGCTGGCGACTACGGAATCTTTAGCGCCACCACTTGCCGAGATGTTGCCACCGGAAGGGGGTGTTAGTCTGTACAGAGCGTGTTGCCCGTGCCTGTACGGCACGCCCCGCGACGAAGCCCCTGCTCCCGCCCCCGCCCCCGCCCCCGCCCCGGCCTTAGCCGGAGGCGGAATACCTAGCGCCTCATGCAGCGACACAGTTTTGGATGCTCCAGTCGCCGGCGCGACCGGCACGAAGGGTGGGAGAATGGGAGGATCGAACACACCAGAAGAAGAGGAAGAAGAAGAAGCAGACGAGTCCGAAGCCAAAGCCGCTCCTGGTCCCGACGCCGCCGCACCAGCCCGAGCGCTCGCTCGACGGGCCGCCGTTTCCACCTGGGAAGGCCGGCGGCGGCGAGGGCTGCTCGTAGTTGCAGGAGCTCGAGATGGGGTGGCCGATGTGCCCCCTGAAGCTGGCAGTTGGGTCGGGGGTGTAGAAGGCGGCAAGGGAAAAGGGCTGGCAGCGGGAGGGGGTGCTTGCAACTGCGGTGGATGTAGTGGCGGCGGTTGCAGGGCAGTCGCACGCAGCAGGATCAAGAGAACCTCTCGTAGCTGCTCCTCCTTCTTTTGCAGAGTTTGCAACTGGCCGAGAAGCGTTGCCTGTGTGTTTGTGCAGAGACCGAGGGACCGGTGAGAACGAAGAGGAGGGGGCAGGAGAAACGTGTGAGTAGGGTCTACCACTTTCGAGAATACCGGTGCAAGGTAAACCGCAGTTGCGCGAGAACTTGAAATACAAATAGAAGCAGATGCAACGATACGCCGGGCTCACCTGATTTTTCTTGAAAACAGAACCAGATGCGAGCAGCGTGTAAGTAAGCGTTGAGAATCATAGCCGCTTCTTCAAACACGTCAAACAGAAAAGGAAATCTGAGCATGCGCTCGAGCAATGATGTATGTACGTGTCATGTCAGATAGTGTAGTATGTTCGAATCTTGTTGGCGACTTCCGTCCACTACTGTTGCACACATCGGTCGTGCTTCAATACAGCAGCATCCGATTCGCACGAAATAGGCACAATACTACTCTTAATACACTTGGGTCGAAGTTGTTTTTCTCGCACTCGAATACCACGGGGTGGCTACTGGCGGGGGCATGAACCTACGTCTGTCGGTACTCGTGAGTAGATTGCACCCCTCCTGTACACCCACACGCGCTCTCGGCCAACACCCGTTACCACTACTGCTGTATCGAGATATACCGTACGTTGCATGAGATACCACTCCCCGTGGAACGATTTTTAAGCCTTGGAACACTTCACGAAGGGGAGAATGCCGAAATCAAACCTTAATGTTTTCGGGAAGCTCTACATGAGACGGTTACAACGGTGTGTTATATTCGGCACCGCCACTTCTTTTTGCTACGAATAGTCGAGTTTTGAGAGTCGGCCTTGGGGGTGTGGTATCTTACGTCAAAAACGGTAAGCGTGACTGCTTCGACTGACGGTGTACACATAGATTATATATTACATTGTCGGGTGTAGACTTCCGTGCAAGATTTGCCGGCATAAGCATTGAAGGGTAGCATAGAAGTGGCAAGGATGAACGCGGGCACAAGACACGGATTGATCTCTCTCTTCACCATGACAGGGAGTATGCACACCACAGGCCCCTCGCCCCCATAAAGAGAGAGGATGTGTACTCCCACGTACACGCCCTGTCATCGGGTCCAGCGCATGTGGCGATGCGAGAGTCGAGCCTGCACAAACAATGTAGCCCGTCGGCCTCTGAATTCCATGTGATGCCGGTCTTGCCGTACGTTTGAAATCATGAGAGCGGGAGAACATCCGTTACAGCGGTAGAGGCGTACCCCCCCCCCCCTCTCAGCCCTCGGTGTTTGCCATCGGGGTTGGGTTTTCGTCGCTTGAGCAACGACGTTGTAAAACAAGTCGCCCCCCCCGGTGTTTGCCATCGGGATTGGGTTTTCGTCGCTTGGCAACGACGTTGTAAAACAAGCCAATTCACTTCGTGAACTCGGCAACCAGGTTACCGTTTTTTTTTGTTTTACCTCTGTTTTTTTTTTTGGCGGTAACCATAATGGTGATCGAGTAGATCATGTTGTGCGGGGTGGAGAAACCTCACTCCGCAGAAGGGGGATGATCGCACCACGTTGTGTTAAATTGGTGAAGCATCCTCGAGGCAGTTACACAGTGCTGATAACTGTCTCTGGAAGTGAAAGCACCAGAAAATAAATTAAGTCATACGCAGCTGTCATCCGTACGCAAGGAAGTAAGCACAAGATGCCGAACACCCTTAGCAGGATGTAGCTCACCCTTCATGGGACTCGCCGAATACCTCACGGTGCTTCGCGCTTGGTGATGTGAGAGCCTGGTCCGGTGAGAACCCGGCATGCTCCGTCCCGGCTTTGTAGGGACGCGAGGTCAATGGTCTAAAGACTACCGCTGCACAACTATGAGTACCCCCCCCCCC